TGATGACACTGTTAACGATTCTAGTGCTCTAATTCTGTCCAATTCTGAGGGAGACTACCTTGACGTAGAACACTATCCGGATAACAATGCGGCATATCTTGAAGTTCTTCATCAAGAGAAATAAGATAAAGTATAATCATATTCTTACGTACAAAAGTATCATAGTTTACACTAAGACATTTAAAATGATAAAACGTATGTGATTAAAATAAATGAAATAAGTATTAAAGACTTTTTAAAACCCATTTATATTAGTTTCTGTGTCTTTTAATTGTATGTGTAGAAAAATACCAATTTTAATGAAGATATTTACAATTTAAAACAATTAAATGAAATAGTCCAACGTTGTGCACGCAAGTCATCTTTCAATGATAAGAAATTTTCTAAGATGGTTTCTTTATAAATATGAGCATTCGTGTTTTCTCTTTTTTATAACATGTTAAAACAGAAATTTCAATTCCATTATATAACCAAGTGGACATATTTTAAAAAGAAAATATGAAGAAGAACGTACTCGTTTCATTCAAATAAATAATTTCTTACTAGTCCTCGGAAAGAGGGTTGAAAAAAACTTAGTTCTTCTTACAATATGTCTAGTCGCACCCTATAGTCTGATTTGTAGATCAAGTAAGTTAAAATGAATTTTAAAATTTAATGGGTAAGTTATTAAATATTAACATATAAGTTATTGCTCAATATAGATATGTACAACTTCTTTTTCTTTTTTGAACATGAACAATTTAAAAGTCAAATATTTAGAGACGAGTTGTAACTTTATTATACAGGACAATATGGATATTAAATAGTTTGTGAACAAGATGTCTAAGAGTAAAGAAGAAAAGTGTTCAAATATGTCAATATGTTTTTCAGTAGATTACTTAAAATAAACCATCGCTGGTACAAGGACACTGAATTCAAAAGTATTGGATTTTGCTATTATGACAAATTGTTGAGGCATTTTTAAACTCAAATGGTTTTTCTCACAAGGTAACCTCACATTGATATAATAAGAAATTGTATTAAACGGTAACAAAACACCTATAACAACAAAGCTTTTCGATAAACGTGATTGCCTAATCTTTTGCATCCTCAACTTCCCTTAATTATGCAGCAATATACCTTTGTCACCTGCATAACAAGGACCCCATTGGAATTAAGAAGACCCCATTGAGAAAAGAGCCATACTGGCTTTCATGGGCTATCCTTGGATTTAGGCATATTCAATATAATATATTTATTTGATTCATATGCAAAAAAAAATATTAGTTAATCTGTTTTATAATTACATCTCTTTAACCATAGCTGTCTATTTAAAACTTAAAATATGTAATACTCACACCTCAATGTTCAATTACATTGTATAATGTCTATTCCTGAATAAAGATAATATTTTATATCTCTGGGTTGATTCCCTATGCAATAGCATAATTTGCTCAAAAACAATTTCTAAAACGAGTTAAATTGTTGACAGGCAAGTTGATGAAACAAGAATTTCAGCAGCCTCTTTTTTAAAGTCATCATTTTGACAGCCCCAGGGTCGATACGATGACCTTGTCAGCAAATAGTTTATCAAATACTGACTGACTTTTTTCATACTGTTTGTAAGGTCATTATTTACACACTGAGTTATTCACGGATTTGTCGGTTATTTCCCGATCATGACAACGAGCACACGACTGATGACACGGCAGAGGATGCGCACTCCTCTATGGCACTTATTCCCACCTCTGATGTTTTGGAGGTCCGTGTTGTTCCACTCCTATTTTGTAATGTTAAGGTCTTTGAGCTCAAATTCTGTTCGTTATCTCCATATATTTTATGGTCTTTCGTTCTCCTGCCAGACAACTGAACTTGATTTTTGTTAAAGCAAGCAAAAACAACCAACATTGTGTAGGAGTGAAAAATGTCATTTATTGAAGTAAATGACAAAAAATAGTAAAATAAGTTTAACAAGAATGGGGGTAAGGAAACGAGAATTAAATTAAAATTATAGCATATCTTTATGACAATATTGCACAATCTGACCCCTTGCACGATAATGTCATTGAACATAGTATAGTTATATAGTAAAAAAGGGAATAAACCAGACTAATTAGGAATCAATTCAAATCATGGAGAAACATTGCCATGTATATTATACATATATCTTCAGCTGACCCCCTTCTAAACCTAAAAAAATTCCAAACATACATGAAAATGCGATTCTCTATATATTTCATTCATCAATACAATTTGGATAGATGCATGAAGAAATATTTTGTAGCTTATTTGTATTTAATTTGAATTGCAAAATGCGAATGGGATAGGGCAGCAGGCAATGCATATTTTAGTCCTCTCCTAAATAAAAAAAATTATGAGATACAATGTCCGTTCAACAGACAGTAATCCTATTCATGATAAGTAAGCAGGGAATATCATCTTTGTTGTATAAGGAAAGGGGAATATACTTAGGAATGTAATAATTTAAATCACAAAAATTCATGATTTTTTTTAAAAATGACACCACTTACCGATCGTTATTTAAAGTAGAAATTAAAGAGAAGGAGTAAGGGTATGAAATTATAAAATAATTGTTGAAAAATTTTAAAAAGATATAATACATGTGTATGGCTAAAAGAAGAAATTTCATACGATCAAAATAATGTTGACAACAGGTTGATTTACACTAGAGCAGGAAACAAAATAACATAAGCCCTTGTCGCTGAATTCATCTAATATCCAATTATAGAATTATACAGGAAACCCCTCTTATATAACCATGGTACTAGTTTGAAATTCATGTATCGGGATTTCCTGTAAAATTGTTTACATATATGTTTTCAAGTTTATATTCGCTTATCTATAAATATTTTTTTTTTGAAATTCTATTCTTGGAATTCAGAGTTTATTTCCAAAATATATCAATATAAGAGCCAACTTTATTCATTTACATGTAAATATATTCTATAAATCGTTAAATGTACCAAATAATATATTTTAATGAAAGTAAATCTGACTAAGTTAATAAAAACCAATAATAATATAAAAAAATACGCTGTGATTTTATTGCAATTAACTGGGAAAAATATAAACTAGAGGTACTGTGAGAACTGAGCTCACCAAATGATACCCCCGCCTCCCATTAAATTATAATATCAAAACTTATGTTTTGCTCTGGGAGACCCGAAGTAAGTGGCGCACCACAAAGTAAAATAGAGGGTGCACAATGACCTTATAAAAAAGAATCTGTGAAAGCATCAATTTTTAAATCCGTGGTAATAGAGGAATTATTGAGGTTAAAAGATGGGTACCCTTCAATACCGAAATATATGTTCGATCAAAAGGTAAAATAGTAGGGGCACAATGGCCCTTTGTAACAAAGATTCTGTGAAAGTTTCTTTAAATTTCAATCAATTGTATAAGAGGAGTTGCGGATAAGAGATTGGTACCCCAAAGAGTAACAGACGAACGGAAGGACAGACAGACGACCATATACACTCCCTCTTTTCAGATGTTGTTTAACCATTGTAATTTATTATGATACAGGGATCTGTTTTACAACAGAATGTACGATTAAGACAATACACTTCAGCTTGATATAAAATCTTTTAAAATTATTGATCCTAATAAAAATTACTGTAATAAAGACATGTATCAAAATACTTTCTAAAAGTCAATTTATCACCAAATTACATTGCAGTCTTAATCATAAGTTTTATTGAAATATAAATGTATGATTATTATTGAAAATCTGTTTTAATCAATCAAATAAAAAAAGTAGCAATTGTTTTCACATATCAAATGCCTCATATGCTTCAACTATTCTTAATTTTACAACATTATCCTATTGTGCTTATTATTTAATATCAGTAACCAAATAAATTAGAATATTCAAAATGTTAAAATAATTTGAAATTTTCAAATGTTATGTGGTATCTTCACATATTTGTATTGTTTGTTTAATTATTTGAGATAGATCACTCTTTGTTATCTCCCTTTGTTGTTTTGTAAGATTGCGTTTTAGAACTATACTGGCTATCATCAGATAGATTGATGTTACAGGGATTTCAAAAATCTTAAAATTTTAAACTATGGATAATTTTGATTCAGTAAAACATTTTTAAAATAATTTGTTTCTTTTTTAATCAAGTATTCATTCTTTAAACATTTTATGAAGAGCATTAACTCTTTTTGATATGTATATTTATGAAAATTTTGTCCCTGACATACATAGTTAAAACACTTTAGTTATGACATACATGGAGATATAACGAACAATAGTTTAGCTCAACAGTCCATTAAACAATACAGATCAGGAACAGAGAAAACACAGGCCTTTAAAACATCAAGGTGGAATCAGGTGCCATGGAGGTGTGAGCATGCGGAGTTAATTGGAAATTTTATCACAAATTATAACTAGTTCACTTATTCATCAAAAATATGGTACATATGATGAATAAGTGAAATGATAAAAATTGTGAAAATATGTCCACAAATCCCGGTATTAAATATCGGTGATGGGGTGGGGTTGAGGAGGGTGGTCCTGTCAACAAGTATCTTTGGTTTTAGCGAGGAGTTTAGAAAGAGCCTTGATAGAATATTTTCTGGAACCCGTAACTTTGTTTGTAAGGATTTTTTATGAAGTTTTGGCATTCAATATAGATAAGGTTATTCTATTTAGATGTTGGGAATATTAACGATATTCAAAACTCACACAAAATTATATTTGTAGCGTTATTTTGGATGAAATAATAGGGAAGGAAGCATACATACCTCGATTTCATAAACGTATCGTTTCATTCAATATTTTATAGCAATGTTTCAGAAAGTCGATAAAATAAAGCTACATTTATATAATCATACATAGATTTACTAAGTATCACCAAATTAAGATACCATCTCTATAAAACCATGTTTTATTTGGAAACTAAACTCCATAATGATGGGCAATAGAAATAAGATTCTTCAGGAAGGACATGAACAATATTTCCCTATTGTTGTGTCATGTTGTAAATTTCAAAATTTACAACATGACAGTTGATTAAAATGTGTCGTTCACGAAGTGATAAGCTGTCTGTTCTTATATTTATAGGCCTTTTTATTCTGGTGTTTTCTCAAACAGGATTGTACAGAAAGTACAGTGAATGTAGAGAAAGGTAAAGTTAATCCTTATCTTTCAGTGAAAAAGTATTTCATTATTATGATTTGAAACTATATATATTTTATTATAAACTTATTACAGATACATTTCAGGCGAATGTTGTTACAACTTTCATCTTGTGGGAAATAAATGCGAGCGTGAGTATTAAATACAATTTCTCTTAATAATTTATGTTCTTTTTAACAAATGTGTACATGTATTTACATTTTATCATTGATTAACCTTAAAAGTATGATTAATGAATGAATTTAATCAGAATCTCAAATACTCATTTAATATATTTCTTTATTTAAGTGGCACCTCAATGTCTAGAGCTTTATAAGAATACACGTATTCTCATTTATGTATAAATCCATGTCTAGCGTGTCCCCCTGGATCCTGGGGACACAACTGTGAAAACGCGTGTCCGAGCGGAAGTTACGGGTATCTGTGTGTCAAAATATGCAAAGATTGCACTACTTCCGAATGCCATCCAGTCTATGGCTGTAAGAAGTTAAGTATGTATTTTCATATCTATAATTTTGTTTCCAGTAGTAGAACTAGGTTTTTTCAATGCTGATAATTTTCTTTTTTTAATAGATATAGAAAATTCAAGCCTCAAGACAACACTCCTCCTTTCTACATACAGTGAGAAGTCTTCACGGATATTCAAAAATACGATACATTCTTCTCCACACGTTTCTTTGTCCCCTTTGACTCATGTTTCAATTTCCACTCGCATATCCACTCCATCTTCAAAAGTGAGAGCGACAATGATAATTATGTTTTTATCGCAGAGAGTGGTTCTATAAAATTCTTTTTTTTTCATCCTCATAATTCAAGTTGAAAAGAAAAAATATATAAAGAAACGCTATCCGTGTAAAAGATCATGCTAAAGAAACACAAAGAAAAGACTGACATTGAATTGAACGCAAGAGGATCTAAAATTGATATAAAGAGAAAAATACGCACAGTATCAGAAGCCTTGCCATCTAATACTTTAAAACACTTTTAACAGACACAAATTCTCTCTCTCAAGGTTATGCTAAAATACGTATTTAGAGCCAAAGATTGATTAACATCAGTATAGTTATAGTGACGTCAACAAAACAACTTCCAGTAAAATGCATATACATCCTGAAAAAGAAGAGTTGGAGAGCCTTCCAAAAAGACCACAAAGGAAGCAGATCATTCTCACAGTACTGTGACTCAGTACTCAGTGAACACTTCTAAAATGACGTCTACAGATACATGTAAACATCTTAAAGGAACTGTGAAACAAAGCAATTATTCTTATTTAGATGTTGTTAATGCTGGGAATATCTGAGATATTTTAATAAAAGAAGGATATTGAGATAATTATTATTTTTAAAATAATAAAACATGTTTTTAAAAGCATCATTTTTTTTTACAGCATACGGGATGTATAAAACGCTTTTTAATCGATTTTTTTTAAAGAAATTCAAAGGTTGTGAACTATACACAAAGGTCAAACGTAAAAAATAAATCGAATGTTAAATTTTTTTTTTGTTATTTTCAAAATTCAAGATGTTGATATCAAATTAGGGTGACTGAAAAATCCATAAACATAAAAATAGTTTTAAGTCCCTTTTTATATCAGAGAATAAATGCTTTTTCATAATTTTGAAGTAAACATATAGATGAAGGATATGGATATAACAAACAGTATTCAATATCAAAATCCATTAAACAATACAAAATATGAGCAGAACAAACACAGACCTCCAAAACATCAGAGGTGGGGTCAGGTGCCATGGATGAGTGAGCATCCCTCCTGACCGGTCACACCGTGTGATCCTTGTCATGATCGGGAAATAACGGAAAATCCGTCGTTCATTCAATGTATAAATAATGAACTAAAAAAATTAGCATGAAAAACGTCAGTCAGTATATGTCTCGATGATAAATTGTATTTGCTAACAAGGTCATTGTAACCGACCAAAAACTTACAAAATGATGACTTTAAACGAGACTGCTGATTTAAAAATAATAGTAGCATTTGCAATATTTTTATTTTAAAGATTGTAATATTTTATAACGTTATTTTAAATTTAGGTTGCAGGGTTAGAAAGGGAATATCAGAAGTCAAATTTGAACAGAGTTTTTTCTTCCCATGGGAGATCCTTTCACAGACACCTCTGTGAAATTTTCGTTTTTGACAAAACGAGAAATAGATTAATGCCACGGATTGTTTCAAATAAAAAAAAATCAGTTCTGCATATGGAGTTTTCTAGTTGATTTAAAAATGCAAATATTACGGAAGCCCATTTCGGACCTATAAAAATATTTTTGAGATTTGATATAACGAATTGTCGAATTTGTTATGACGAATTTAATTCATTATAACAATTTCTTTGAATTCGTTATAACAATTTTAATCTGTTCTTTCAAACATTCATGATAAAAGGTAAATCGTTAAAAAAAAATCAAATTCGTTTAAACAAATTCTTAAGTTTGTTATAACAAATTAAATTCGTTTAATCAAATACAATAATCAAGACCTATACAAAATATAAAAAAAAATATACATAAATTCGATATTACGATTTGTCGAATTCGTTTGAACGAATTTAATACGTAATTACAAGTTTTAGAATCTGTTAAAACGAGTTTCATTGGTCTTAACAATTTATTTTAATTCGTTATAACGAAATCAACAAATTTGTTATAACAGATTAAATTAAATTAAATTAAATTCGTTAAAACAAATTCGACAATTCGTTATATCGGATTCAAAAATATTTTTGATAGGTCCTAAATGAGCTTCCGTACGATCGCGATTTATAACTACTGTTAGTTTATTTTTGAAAGTTGGACAATTTGCATTAATTAAAAAGTACCCCTCATGAACAATTAATATTTGACCTAATGCTAATGGGCACAGGGAGGACGGATTGAATGCTGACTAATTTCTAAGGGGTCAAAGGTTATTACCGACTGCAAATCAATCGGCGATTCTCTTGATAGTGTTTGATTTTCATTGCCAAAGTATTAAGGCATACCTTTTATTAACTAAAGTTTAGTAATACTTGAAGAAAGATTTATAAAAACTCTGAATACATCTGTAAGTTGTACAGTTAATGAAAGAAGGATATGGAGATAACGAACAGCGTTCAATCTCAACGTCCATTAAACAACGAAACAAATGTGCACAGTCCTGTCCTTTGGTGTCATCAGGCTCACCGGGTACCAGTTGAAGTCGATAATGACGTCACGGTTGTTTCCTGTCCAGACAAATCTCCCCTCCTGTTCAATATCGTTGGCATCTCTCCAATGTGAACAGCACATCCACCATTCACTACATTCCACTGAAAGTTTTATAATTATTATTATTAATTGAAATGAAGAAATTAAGTTAACTTTGTAATAGACGACTATGAAAAATGGACTCGTAAAGAGTACGTGCTGATGTCGAGCTAAAAGAACCTATAAGTTATCCAAGTTTAATCAAAGGTGTTTTGGGATTTACCCCGGGTTTTATTCCATACACTCGAAGAATGTAGGGAATACAACCCGGGGCGAATCCCAATACATGGATAACGAAAGTATCTCCTAGGTACCCAAATAAATTCTTTGTAAACTTTTGTCTAATCAGTTGTGTTTCAACCTATCAATAACATTAAATACGTACAACGCATCGTTAATTCATGTTATTTGCTTCTTATCATAAAACAAAACTATGCATTGTGACGCCACATCGTTTCTGACCTCCAGCTTTACTCGGGTATAAGGAAAAATACACCTGGGCCCGTTTTACAAAAGGTAATTATTATGCTTCCTGTCAGTTTGTCTCTATATAACCCATACCCTACTATTTTCGCATAGTGGTCTAAGGATTTATATAGCGTAAGCATACTATGCCGAAATAGAGCACACCTTTGACTTCTTTTTAGAAAATTTGATGGTACCCACGATCGGGCTCGTACTCTCAACGCGGCAGTTCATAGGATCAGGAATCCGACGCGCTACCGATTACGCTACATCGTCCGTTGATATATAAGAAGATATTTTACGTATATAAAACATAGTATTTGTACCGTAGCCACACACACAAATAAAATAAATTTCTTCAATTCCAAAACATTTAAAATTCGTAAGGAATTTTAAGAGCAATCCGGACATTCCCGTGCATATGCTCAAATTCTTTATTTTACACTACAATGTCAAGTCACGAAAGCGAGGTCTATAAAACGCTTAAAATGATAGGAAATGTGGGTGAAAGTGCAAAGCGCACTTCACATGATTTCTCGTCTGCTTTGGAAAGTGCAAGCTCAAGTAAAGGTGCGCAATGTATAGATTTGGAAAGATAAACCAAGTGACTTTAAAGAAAGTTATTTTATGTCGGCAAAAACGAAACATGCTACAAATTTTTCCATCAGAATATTTACAGACTTTTTGCGTGAAAGGGGGAGAGAAACCGATATATTGAAATACAACAAAACTGATCTTTGTGAATGCTTACAGGATTTCTACAGCAATGTAAGAACAAAAACGGGGGAACTTTACAAAAAGAACTCTTTGTTAAATATACGTCAGGGGATTTGCAGGTACATGAAAGAAAACGGTTCAACAATTGATATTATCAGTGACCCGGGTTTTGGCCCTGCAAACAGCTGTTTTTCGTCCCTTCTTAGAAAAACTAGGTCAGAGGGCAAGGGGGGAGTCAACCACCACCCTGCTATTTTGGAAGAAGATATAAGAAAACTTTATGAGCATAAGCTAGCTTTTAATACTGCTACACCGCAGGGACTTTTAAATAAAGTAATTTTTGAAATTGTGTTATATTTCTGCAGAAGAGGACAAGAAAACCTTCAAAATTTGAAGGTACATGATTTCGAAAATTTGAGACCGATCACTGTGTGAAGTTAAATTCATGAAAATAAAATGTTGAATTTGCATTTCATATCATATTATACAAAAACAGTCAGCATAATAATAATAATAATAGTGTCATTATTTGGATGTACTATGCCGAAATAGTATTCAGGGTTTGACACATAGTGCACTCGCCTCCGGCTCGTGCACCATGTGTCAAACCCTGAATACTATTTCGGCATAGTACATCCAAATAATGACACTATTATATAATTAGCGGTAGTTTTTGTCGTACGACCCTATTGAAGAAAACACGGCCGTTTTACAAAGATTTGAGACTTGTGACGACAAAATTCGGTTGTTAGTCTACGGCCAACCGGAGGCTGTGTCAAGTCTTGCTTACAAAACTTATATACGAGGGCTGTCCGTAAAGTTCTTGGACAACATTGATAATTACAGACAAACATTGACAAAATATATGAAACTATTGTTTTCATTAAATTCATGTTTTCAAAAAAAAAAAAAACAAAGCACAAATAGTTATATTTTTATCAGTTACAAAAAAGACACACACTCATACCAGGAGCACTAAAACGAAAATTCTTGACGTAACCCGACGTCAAAAGCTAAATACGAGCAAAGGTAACTTTTCCTAACATAGTCAGCGTTTAACTCAATAGTTGCTTAAATTTATGCACAAAATGTTCAGGTTTTATTCGTAAAATAATATTTAACAATGGCTGTCTCATATATCCTACAATCATCCAACCACTGTCCGTGTTAAAACGATTTTATTTACGGAAATATGGCAAAGTCATGATAACGTTACGCAATTCATATTATAGTACGTTCTAACTTATAATGCTTAGCCGTTTTGAAACTTTGAACATTCAAATTTTGCAGGTGTGACGTGATAAGTTCTGTCAACCTCATAATGTAAAATTCTTTCAGATTTAACCAGAATTTTATAAAATACAAATGAAATTTATAAAATGATAAATGTATTTTTAATAAAAATTTTGTGGTGCTCCGGGTCTCAATTCCAAGTCTAATTATGAACCCATAATTGTAATTTTAAAAACATTTGAAATTGAATAATTTTTTTTACTTTTTTCAATTCGCATTTAGTAAAGGACTAGAAATATGTCAATAATAGATATCAATGACACAACTTTTATTAAATTTTCAGCTTGTCCACGAACTTTACGGACAACCCTCGTACATGTATGTATAATTATCCTAAGTGTCTGAATTATACCCTTACTATTAGTAAGATACCATATATATCCTAAATCCGGTTTTGTCTTATTTTTTAATGAAGCCCGGAGGACCGGGCTGCTCCATACATATAAGTTTAAGTGTTGGTGTATGGTGATTGGGGTGGGAGAAGTTATTCAGAATTAAAGGTTTTCTAAACATTGAAAAGATTGTTAATCAGAATGTTCTTCCCGTTTCAAAATTACGAGATACATAATATATTTACTTCCATAAAATGAATCTGAAAAAATATAT